TCTGCATCTGATTGATGAAATGTTTTTCCGTTTCTAATGGGAACTTTTTCAACGTCCCTCACAGATTATTTTCGACTTAGCCAAGCAGGGAGCCTATTTTAAAGTTCCCAATTTGAAAATCATGGATGCTTTATAAAGCCTTTCACCTGCACCCCTTTTTAGGAACCCAGCTCTTTATTCTCTAATGGATGAAAACCCCCAGCAAGTAAAACTTTGTTAAGCTGTCACTGTCAATAGGCTAAAAAAAAAAAAAAAAATAACGGTGGACAAAGAAGAAACAAATTGCATCTTCCAATAAGTTTTCTTGAAGCTCTTGTTAAAAGCTATAACCTCTGATGTTAACTAAATTTAACCCACTGTGACCCTGGAGGTGACCTTCACCTCTCCTTTCTTCTGTTTCCTGAGGCTGCTAGAGAAAACTGCCCCCTGCATTGGAAAGGACTTCTCTGTAGCACACAAAGGCCCAGCCTTCCTGCTACCCTGTCTGGAGGCCCCTTATCGACCGAGGGGTCAGCACCTGGGTGGAGAAGCAGGTGACAGTGGCCTGCCTGCATCCCTCTACAGCAAGCTGTAAGAGTGTCTACCCTTCAAATATCACGCTGCAGTTCCAGGCATTCAAGCTACTGAAGTTCAGGTTTCTTTGTGAATGCAGACTTTACACAAATTAATCTATTGCTGTTCAGCTGACTGTAAAATTGGTAGATTTACTGTTGCAAAAAAAAAAAAAAAAAGAAGAGGAGGAAGAATGAAAGAAGAAAAACAGCTTTCACTTCCATGCTGGTAAGGCCACGAATGCCTCGAGGTTGCCGACAAAGCAGCCTTTAAAATCTTTGCAGGGGAACTTAGCAGTTTTCAGGGGGTGGGGAGGGGAACAGCTAAACAATGACTCCAATGGACAGCAGACAGTCTTCCCTACACAGCACCCATGTAAAACTGCACACCCGAGGAACCTTCGAAAGTGGAATAATTGGCCTCTAATTCTATCTGCCTCAAAGACAGTGACAGCACAAATTTATTCCATCACCAACATACTTGCTGACAGACCTGCCTTCTTTAAGTAGTGTGTAATTAGAAGATCTTATGTGACATATAAAAAAAGTGTGTTGTTTGCTAAATGTGAATGCCACGTAATTTCTTGGTCATATATTGCTTTGACTTCTATAATAGTAAGTGCCAAATGTCTTGTAAGTTTCCACATTCTTTGCTGTTATATATGATGTTATATATTAGCAATGAGAATTACTTACATTAAAGGTTTCAAAAATGAAGGAAGTTGGGTCTGGGGATATAGCTCAGTTGGTAATGGACTTGCTGTGCAAATACAAGGACCTGAGTTCAATCCTCAACACCCATGTAAAAAGCAGATGTGGTGGTGTTTGCTTATAATCCTAGTGCTGGGGCGGCAGAGACAGAAGGATCCTTGGTGGGGCTTCCTGGAAAGCCAGCCTAGCCTAAAGTGTGAGCTCTGGGTCAATGAGAAACATTTTCAAAAGTTAAGTTGGACAATGACTGAAGAACAACATCCAAGGTTGACCTCTGGCCTCCACATATATGTGCATACATATGTACACACACACACACACACACACACACACACACACACACAAATGATGAAAGCTAACCAAATAACTCCAAAACTCAATATCATTGAAATGGAAACACATGGCTGTCTTGCTTTTCCAAAGGAGACTTTTAGAAACTATTTTCTGTTTCATTTACTTGCACAAAAACTATGTACAAATGAGAAAAGGATTTCCATATATAAACACTTTTATTTAGTAGACATGAAACTTTTTTTTTCCTTCTTGGTCTTATTGAGACAGGGTCTCCCTGTAGCCCCAGTTGGCCTGGAACTTGCTATGTAGACCAGGCTGGCCTCAAACTCACAGAGATCCACCTGCCTCTGCCTCCTGAGTACTAGGATTAAAGGCATGTGCCACCATGCCTGGTGACACGAAAACTTTTTAAAAACTCATGATAGATAGCGCTCAGATATGTCTACTTTGCTCATTTACAATCATTGTGTTTAATAACTGGTGTAATTTTTTGACCAAAGAAAGAATTGAGCTGAAGCGTGATACCATGGAAGATCTTACATCTGTTGAAGAAATTTATTCTGAATCTAGTAATAGTCTGAGGTTACATGAAAGGCTGCAACCCAGATGTGGCCGCCAGATGTTCCCCAGTGCTCTGGGGAAACTGCGCAAGAAGCAACGTAATAAATTCAGGCCACACAAAGGAATAGATTCCTAAACCCTATAAACAGAAAACAGCTAAATCTGCTGAAGTTTTTGTTTTGTTTTGTAAATGTATGAATGTTCACATGTTTGGAGTGGATTAACCACAGTACTGCCTGGAGATAGGTGGTAGCAAGTCTATTATGAAACTTTTCATAATAGTTTATAGATTAGGCTGAGAGTGTCTTCAGGAAATTTTGAGTAAGTTTCCTAACTCTCAGCCAAAGCATCCTGAACATGTTGTTTTCTATGTCTCTGTGCCGTGTTGGTACAAAAAAGCTAAGTGTAGATTCTTTCAGCTACCTTGCTGGCACTGTACTGACAGAACTGCTACCAGTTAGGACAATCATCTTGGCAAGATTTAATCAGTACTAAATAGGCACTCATACATAATACATTGTGATTCCTCTATTTTCATAAAACTGCCCTGATAAAAGCTTATGATTTTGTGTGTGGGCTTAGTATATAAAGTAATCCATAAGCAACCTGTGGAAGGATACGCTATGTGAACCCATGCAGGATTGGCAGCTTCTATAGAACTCAAAATAAACCCAAGATTTTTACTAGTGTGCAATTTGCTTATAAATTGTTATGGTTCCCAGTTTCGGGTGTGGAGGGTGATGGGGTTGTCCACCCTGGGAGGTGTGCAGGCTCTGCTCCTCTCTAGCATTCTGGCTGCCCTGGTGATGTTCTGGTTGCTCCACCAGGCATCTGGGATTATCAGCAGGCTCATTTCAGTGACTCCCTATTTGATACATAAGTCACTTGTTCTGAAATTACTTTGAAATTTTGAAGGATGGTTTCCATGGAGACTTTTTAATAAGAATGAAATTTGAAGAAAGCATTACAGACCTGCTAACTCTTAACTAAGCATTACATCTTGGCAGGACTGTCTGTGGATCCCCAAGTGGCTTCATTACAAGAGAGAAACATAACAGAGGCAGTGGTGGTACCAGAAAGTTTTAATATGGAAGTCCCTAATCCAAGGAATCTGAAGTCCTCATTTATGCCAGATAAGATCCACTGTACATTGATTGTTTTCAAGCTTTTTTGGCTTTATCCCTACCATTGGCCATATAAGAAAGACAGGGATACCCTTATTGTGGTCAAGAACCCAGATTTATTGATGTTCTGTGACCAAGATACTTTTAAGAATTTGACCCTACAGGGGGCTGGAGAGATGGCTCAGCAGTTAAGAACACTGGTTGTTCTTGTAGAAGACCCAGGTTCGAATCCCAGCACCCACATGGCAGCTAACAGCTGTCCATAACTCCAGTCCCAGGGGATCTGACAGCCTCTTCTGACCTCCGCGGGCATTGCACGACACAGGTGCACTTACCTACATGCAGGCAATACATGCATACACATAAAATTTTAAAAATTAATAAAATTTAAAAAAATAAAAAGAATTTGACCCTACAGTGGGACCTACGATACACACCTCTTTAGTATTTGGTGACCTTGCTCATTACAATTTTATGTTTTACTTTGACTTGATCCTTGTAGCTGTTTTCAAATATGGTCATTTTCCCTGTAAGTTTTATACAGTTAAATATTCTCTATAAACCTAATAAGACCTACATTGTGAAAAAAAATTGTTACCATCATTGTGGCATCACAAAAACACAGCCTAATGTTAACTTTCTAAGTAAGACTGTCCATGAAATAACTTGTGGGACTGATATATTATACCTCAAAGACTGAGCCAGATGCACCACTATGTTTTGGAAGGTTCCCTCTGCCGTCAGTAGGAAGAGAAAGGATTTTGCAACCCAACCAGCAAGGAGAGGGATAGAATATTTCCCTCAATCCTTCACCAATATATCCATTGAGAAAGTGTATTGGCCTGCTATGGAATTAACATGCAGTTACTAGAAGGTGGAAAATGTAGTCTAGAATTACCAGGATTGGAGTCTTAATTATGCTTGAGTTTTGGAAATTATGAGTAGAGAAAAAAAAAAAAGGACAGTTGGAAAACTCTGAGCACATCCTGATGGCCTGGTCTAAGCACATGATGGATCATAGCTTATAGAAGATTGTGGCATAGTAATTACTTCCCGAAATTAGAAGCCATGCCTAGGGGTCATAAGTGCAGAAAGGCGGTCTCGAGGGGCAGGCTGCTTGTTTTACACAAGGTCTTTACTCAAGAATCTTCAGGATCTGCCACCACCAAGCTGAACCCATTGCTTTCAATGACTCCTTAAAATAGGCCATGTCCCATTTTAACTAGAGGTTAAACCAGAGTTCAAGAGATGATCAAAAAAAAAAAAGAAAACGGGGGGAGGGGGATTCCTCTTAGGATATGTCTGTGACATCCTCCTATTTCCTACAAGCTTCTTCAGGAACAGGCTACCTGTGTTGTGGCAGCTGACAATCGCAGCTACTCATGCTGTGTGCTCTTCATACAAGGCCTTCAAAGAGAGCTGCAGACAGGATGCTGGTAGGCACTCAGTTACCAGGGATTCTTTGATGTTAATTTCTTTAGCTCATAATCTTACTAAACTGTAAATCCTTAGTTGGTATATTAAATGCTTCTATCCCTTTTATACATTTTTGTCGGGGGGACTTTACCCCGCTAGTGAAAAAGGGGCGCGACTTCCCTAGTCACCTTGCCTTTAAAAAGACACGGCAAAGCCCCGCCCACTACGGAAAGGGACGAGGTCTGGCCGCGGAGTCCGTTAGTTCCCCGGCCGGTTCCCTGGCCTGCCCACCATTCCCACTTGCCAGCCCTGAGGCGGGTAATACTCAGGTGAGGGTGCGGCGGTGCGGGGGCCGAGGCGGGAGGACGTGGTCTAGGACTGTGTGCAGGGGCGCTTCGCAAGGTCAGCGCACGTTGGCGGGCACGGGGAGCGGCAGCCTGGGCCTCGGGGTCGGGCTTGCGCTGCAGAGTTGCGGGCCCCAAGCTGCCCAGCCCCAGAGCCTCAGACAGCCCCGTCTCGCAGTGGAGGCGCCCCGCCATCCCGGCCCATTGTCGCCTCCTACGTTAGTATCCACGCGCACGGCTGAGAGCCCCGGGAGAGAAGCCTTTTGGGTGAGCGTGGTTTCCGGCGGCCTTCCGGGTGGGCGTGGCAGCAAACAGGTCCCAGCGGGCCTAATGGTCCCTGAAGCTGCTGTGGGTTCCTGTGCGCCCCTTGGCCGGTCCCCCCCACCCCCCCGCGGTTTATCAGTAGATTCTCGGCCTAGGATTCTTACCGAGAAGCCACGGTTCCAAGAACGCGTTATGATAGGCCCCAGGCTGAAAAATGAGGCTGGTGGCGGACTGTGGAGAACAAACTTTTCATTGTGCCAGATGAATAAATCACGTTTGTTCTTGCATCGTAAGGCAAGATCTAGTGAGGGAAGCAATAGGAAGGAATACGATAATCACAAAATTTTAATTGTGACAGATACTGTAAGGAAAAGATAAGTGGGCTATATAAGGATTTGTTAAGCTTGACAAACGAATGAGGGAAGAGATCGGACATTGGGCTTCATTTGGGGGTAACTACAGAGTGGCTTAAGAAAGGCCCCAGAGGCGCTTGCCCGGGTTTCCTTCACTAAGGCAGTGCTTACACTGAGAGACCAGTGATGTACAGGCAGAAAAAGCTGGAGAGGTAGAAGGGCCTTTGGGCCTGAGAATGTAAATCTTAAGGGGAGATTGAATTTCAAGCAGACCCATGTGGCATAGTGTGACCTCAAGAAGGTCTAAATAACTGCAACTTAGAAATGGATATCTAATACTGTAAAAGGACACATTTGAAGTCCTTGACCTTTACATTATTGTTGTGGCTAAGGTAGCCTACATATGGATGGGATGGAGTAAGAGTGCCACCAGAGCCCCAGTAACTGTCTTATGTTATGCATCTTTATTTGGTGCCAGTCTGCTCAGCCCGGTATTGATAGTATTCCTCTGGCAGGGGAATCAAAGGAGACTCAACTGGGTGTCCCAGTTCAGTGAGTCTTCACAGAAAGGAGAGAGGAAACCCGTGTGCTGAAGGCATCTGAGTGGTGCTGACAGGACTTTTTGTGCCTGAGTAACAGTGTTCTGATGGACATGTGCACCTTCAGCTGATAATCAGCAAGATGTGTACAAGTTCTACTTCATACATCATTACAACTTACGACAATGAGACACTTTTAGACCTTGGTTTGAGGAAAATGATAGAGAAATGAAGGCTGTAACATTACAAAAGGATTCAGAATTTTAAGTCTATAAAGTCCTCATTTGTAGTTTATTTACACACAGGCTTTGAAACTAATGATGATAGTGTATATTTTTAAGATGCACAAAACCAGAATGTCAGTTTATCAAATTACAGTGAGATACAGAACTTGCAGACTGCAGTAGTCATATTGACATATGACTCTAGGCTATCACTTCTCCTTTGTTTTCTTTAAATTTTAATTATAAAAATAACTTACACATAGCCAGGCATGGTGGCTCACGCCTTTAGTCCCAGCACTCAGGAGGCTGAAGCAGGTGTATCTTTGTGAGATCGAGGTCAACCTGGTAACAGTGAGTGCCAGGCCATCTGGGACTACAGGGAGCCCCTGTCTCAAAAAGACCCCAAAAAATAAAAGATAAAATGATTAAAGCATACCAAAAAATAATAACTAACATTCATGTAACCAGATTCAGCAACTGTTGCTATAATTTGCATTGATTAACTTATAGTTCCTGCTAGCCATTTCAGAGTGCCAGATACCACGATTCTAAATACTTCAATGTTTCTTTCTAAGGAGTTAAAAAGTTTTCTGATTTATTTTTTATTTTATGTTTGGGTGTTTTGCTTGCATATAAGTACACCATATGCATGCAGTGACCTCAGAGGTCAGATGAGGTCATCAGATCTCCTGGAACTGGAGTTATGGATGGTTGTTAGCTGCCATGGAAACTGAACCCAGGTCATCCCTAAAAGCAACCAGTACTCTGAACCACTGAGCCATCTCTCCAGCCCCAAGGATTTTATTTGCACACTAAGAAAATGGATGGCTCTTTTCAAGCACTATCTAATACCTAATCTGCATTCACGATTTCCCAACATGTCTTTTCAGATGCTTCTTTTCATACATACTACATTTTATAATTATTTTTTTAATTTTATTTATGTGTATGTGTGTATTGCCTGCATGTAGGTAAGTGCACCTGTGTCGTGCAATGCCCGTGGAGGTCAGAAGAGACTGTTGGATCCTCTGGGACTGGCGTTACAGACAGTTGTTAGCTGCCATGTGGGTGCTGGGATTTGAACCTGGGTCTTCTGCAAGAACAACCAGTGTTCTTAACCTCTGAGCCATCTCTCCAGCCCCATGTTTATTTTTTTTTATATTCAAGAATAACCTGTTCTTCCTTCCCTTTTCATCCTCAATAACATAGATTTTTTTGTGAGACACCACACTGGATGTCTTGTCCTACAAACTGCATTTATGATATTGTTTCCTGTGGGGTTGTCCAGTTTGCATCTCTCTGGAAACTCAGAGAAAGCTGTGTCAGGTTCAGGGGATTACCTTGGGATAAAGCTGTGTTATGGAAGCACTGGGTACTTGGTGTAGCTGCGCATCAGGAAGCACACCTGAGGTGTCAGGTTAGGGCTGGTGGCATCAGCTTTCTGCCTGATGATTGTTTTGTCTGTATTACCTGAATGATTTCACTGTTGGCAAAGTAGTCATTTTTAATTTAAACTTAACCTTTCTTCTTCATTTAGTAACTCCATTCTCTGAAGAAGAGTTTTTCCTCATTAATGGGGGTTGAGCACAGTTTTTCCTAAAAAGGTAGAATAAATGCTTGGCTCTGTAATTACCAATTTACTGATTTTCAAAGGAGCTAGGGTATAACGGTAACACATAGTGGAAAATTATCATTCTTATAGATATTTGCATATTCAGTACATTGAAATAAATGTCATTTTTCCTTAATGTTTAAATTATACATTTGACTAGAGGGAGTCTGCCAAACTGTAAATGAAATGTTAACAAACAAAATTATAGTCCTTGCAGGGAAATGTGAAAACGAGATATCTAATAAAGGAAACCTTGGAAGGTTTTTGTATAGAAGACTGGTATTGCTGTCAGCATGTCATGACCATGTGTCATCCACACCCCTCAGCCAGCTGTGATGCTTCGTAGTGCATCCCAGGCCAGCAGTGAACACTGCAGCGTGTGCTTGTCTTTATTACAATGACATTCTGACAACCCTTCCTTCTAAGTCTCCCTTCCCGTAATAGTGTTATCCTTTATAGTCCACTAAATGTACTGATAAATCATTAACAGTTTCTCATTTAGAAGTCTGAATTGCTATACATGAATGAACTGGCATTTTATATACATCCTCAAAAGTAAACTGCAGAGTGATCTTTGCTTTTGGAGTTGGCACTACATGATTCAAGTAGAAAATACAGGTCACGGACGTGGAGGAAAAAGTAGAAACCAAAGCACTGTGCAGTGCTACTTTGTTCTCATAACCAGTTGCATTAGGGACAGTGCCAGCCAAGTCTGTTTATTGGTATTGCCTTCCCACACATGGACCTTTAGTCCTGAGAACAGCATTTCCATAATTTACAGGTCACAGTCTCCACAGCCTCACCTGTGCCTCACTCCATGCCACACTGGCAGACTGGGGCAATCATGACTGAGTTGTGATAAACTTTCCTCATTACTTTGTTAGGATGACTGCTCTCCTAACAAGGTTGACACTACAGACAATAAAGATTGAAAGTAACTACGTTGGACGATGTCTTGGAAAACACACTGTACAAAAGCCAGCACCAGCACAGCTGCCCCTGACTGCCTCCACCCCAAAACTGGTGTACCTAATTTTCACAAAAGATTTTAGTACTGTTGACAACCAAGATGAGAGAAAAAAGAAAAGGAAGGATGTTTTTACTAACGTTGGAAGGAAAATTAGTGAGCGAATTATCCGTGTCCTTGATGAGAAAGGTAATGACCTGGGATTGATGCACCGAGCAAATGTGATCAAACTCATGGACAAGCAGGACTTGAGGCTGGTGCAGAGGAATGCCAGTGCAGAGCCCCCAGAGTACCAGCTCATGACTGGAGCACAGATCCACCAGGAGCGCCTGAAGATCAGAGAGCTGGAAAAAGCCAAACCCCAAACTGGTAGGTACTTTGTTGTTTGCTCCCAGAATCCTTTAGGACTACACATCAGCAGTTTAAATTCTGGTGTTGAGGTGCCTGTGACTATGGGGAAATGAGAAACTGGAGTCCCCATGCTTGTGGTTTCACCATCATTCCCAGGTATTTGTTTCCCCCTTCATCCCTCACTCCCATTCCTTTTCCCTTCATTTGTGATACCCTGTGTGATCTCTTCTTCTAAAACTGTAAAATGGAGGAGGGACAAAATGAGTGAGCCAAAGTGATGGAAATACACCTTCATCTTGTAGCTTTGGCTCTAGATGCCTTTGTGAGCACTGTGGCTGATAGGCAATGAAGAGGTAGATTCCAGCTCCAACCTCCTCCAAGCTCTTGTCCTTTTGCTTTTCAAGCACCTTTTAATTCTGAAGGGATTCATACTACACCTCCTGCCACTGGCTCTTCACCTTCCCAGGTACTTGTCAGTGAAGCCAACAGAGGCCAGGAATTGGGTATTAAGACGTGTTTGCTTTCCATGGCTCCCCATTATGGAAGGTTGCTCTATGGGCTTCATGCTGCAACAAGGGTCAAAGGACTGGTCCCAGTGGCGAAGACGTGAGGCTGTGTGCCTTAAGGACATATTACCCATAGCCATGTTTTATAACATTTAACAGAACATTTGTTTTTCAGTCAGCTTTCAAAAGACTGACCAGGGAGGCTAAGGCACTGTTACAAGATCAGCACACTGGTGACCTTGGAGAGGTTGAAGAGCTAATGTGTTGAAAGCATTTTGTTCTGATGGAGACCCAGAACCAACTGGTAGGAAGCCAGAGGGTACTAGAAAACTCATTTAAACATTTTCTTAAAATTTAAAGGCATATAAAAAAGGTAAGAATTGTTACCCAGCTCCAAAATAAGCAAATCTGATTGTAATTCAGATTTTTAAAAACATTATAGAAAAGTTGAAGTCCCTCCACCCTCCGATGAGATGTCCCTGCCTACTCTTGTGTATTTTAGTCAGTTATGAGTGTTATATTCATGAACAGTATATAAATTATGTTAAAAATGGCACTTTTTGAAATGTAAACATGTTTATATAATAGCTGTAGCTAATTTATCATGACCATGACTTCTCATAGGAGGGCTTCTAATTTGTTAATCCATCTCCACAGCATCGGACTTATTCCCAGCTCTTCATTATTGTGACAACCAGTGCTCACTCTAGGCTCTATGAACCTGAAACCCAAAGTGCTGTCAGCAGTAGATGAGACTTTTTCCCCTATACTCTCTTGTACTTGATACTGTCACCCCGATTTTTATTGTAGTAACAAGTGAGGAGTCATTGCTTGGTTTAAGATATTTCTATTATTTGAGCTGCTTTTCTGAGACTTTCCTATTTGTACCCCTTTATTTCTCTTGGATGCTTTTTCTTCCAGACTTAAGCTCTCTATGGTATAGACCTTACTAGGCAGGTCTGGGGAGATGGCTCAGTGGATATAAGTACTTGCTGTGCAAGGGTAAGGAAGTGAGTTTGAATACCCAAAACCCATGTAAAAGCCAGATACAGTAGCACAAGTGTCTGTAATCCCAGTGCAACCCTGAGGTGAGATGGGACAAGGGGAGTTCCTAGAAGCTCAGAGGCCAGCCAGCCTGGGTACACAACAAGAAACAAGAGGCCCGTTTCCATCAGGGTGGAAGGTGAGGATGATACTTGAGGTTACCCTGACCTTGACATACACAAGCCTGCACCCCCCCCAAATAAATAAATACCAAACCAACAAAAAAACCTAGTAGTTTTAAATACTCTTATTAACAGGTTGGGGATGGGAGGGAAGCACCTTTATGTCTGTCTCCCCCATTTGAAAAACCTGCTACTAGTCCATGGGGCTGAAAGTGAGATGAGGACTGTTAGGGCCCACGTGGGTACCCAAGATAGTAGCAGGTGTTCGTGGAAGCTCAAGTTTCCGAAAGCAAGTAGAAAACAGACCTGGCACCAAATTTTACTGTTTCAAACCAGGACCAACTGTGACAAAGGAACTAACTTTTTCTTCAAATATTGGACAACATGATTTGGACACAAAGAGTAAGCAGATTCAGCAGTGGATTGAGAAGAAATACAAAGTTCAAGTCACCATAAAGAAGGGGAAAAATGCAGACGAGCCAGAAAATAAAATTGTAAGTAAACATAGATACTGATCTTTGTCTTCTGATGGAAAGGTATAGTTGTAGAAAAACTGAACAACTAAAGGCAAAGCAACATGATTCATAATTCTACTACCAGTAATGAGAATGGCTTTGCAGTTTGTCAGAATGCAGGCACACTCTTATTTTCCATTAGACCGTGTTAAGCCACATGAAAATTATTCTGTAATATAAAGGCTATAAGTTATTCTATTTTACAAATTGTAGACTATCTAACATTTAAAATAGAAAAAGATATTTCATAGAATTGTTTCATTCAGCTGTTCTCTGGAGAATTCTATCAGTTATAGGATGTTTAGCTTTCTAGCTTTGGATCACTTCATCACCCACCAAGGTGCATGGGAGCAGTGGTTTTTCACCCCAACTTGTGTTAGAATCAGTTGCTCTGAGGGCACAGGTCAGCTCATTCAGACTTTCTGGAGCACAGGTGGGATCTCCCCCCCCCTTTTTTTTTAAGGTCACCAAGACCCAAGCACAGTGCTTATTTATGGAAGAGGGTGGACTGGGGCTAATTGTTGCCTCTTAGAGCTGTGACACAGGGCACTCTGAAGTCCATCAAGCCTTCAGTGTTGGTCTAGGCACATGGAGCTACTGTACAAACTTCAATCACTTAGATATAGGAATTGATTAGGCAGTTCCTTAAATAGCAATTCCAGGATGCTGGGTTTTGTGCATGTTCTTTTCACTGTAGCAACAAAGATACTGATCTTAAATTGATCTTAGATTGTCGTCCTTTCTAGGGTGAGGTATTTAACCAAATTCTCCAGAGTATGCCTGGAATAGCTACCTTCTTAAGCAAACCACAAGCTGTTAGGGGAGGAAGAGCCTTCACGTGTGTTTTTCGTCATCTGAACAAGAAAGAGGACAAGGCACACAGAGACTCTCAAGAGACCCAGGAAAGACACACTTTGAATAAAGACAACAGAAGTGACAAGGAGTCAGATGTTCTGCACCAGTGATTTTAATAAAGACTGGCTTCTGAGGAAGCTTCTGATCACAGCTCTGTAGTCCTTCACCAGGCCATTGGTGCCTAGTTGAGGGTGAGTATGCCAACTGGCAGGAGGATCTTGTCGTCCATGCCATTCCCAGACTCTCTGCTTTCAGACAAAGAGGAGTCTGACTCTTGTTTCCTTTTAGGAGGGATATGCCCACTGAGGCGAGAGGCCAAACTCCGCTTTTCACGAGATGGTTTTACCTTTGGGAGTAAGAAAAATGGACAATTCACCATCAGAATTCTTTGTTAACAGCAGCTATCCATTCTGACAGAAACAGTCCTTTATGGAGACAACACCATCAACAGGCAGGCATACACCATACAGCAGAGGAATATGCCAGGCAGACCTGTCTCACAGCCAAGTGCTGACCTGAACAGTTGCCACTTTAAGCTTCATCTTCTTCTTGTTAGGATCGTGAACCACAGCATGTCTGGTGAGGCTTTGCTACAAGGAAGGGGAAAGAACACTTCTTTTTAAAAACCTATGGTCTGGGGCTAGACAGATGGCTCAGCAGTTAAGAACACTTGCTGCTCTTGCAGAGGACCTGACCTCAGTTCCCAGCACCAACATCTGGTGGCTTACAACCACCCATAATTCCAGTTTCAAGGGATGCTCTCTTCTGGTCTCTACCAGCACCTGCATGGTATATACACATATAAAATAAACCTTTTTTTTTTTTTTAAATTAAAAATCTTTTGTGTCTGCTAAATGCCAGAGACAGTGCTGTAAGCCAGCCACCTTTCTGTCTGTTGTATGTGGTGGATTTGATTGCTACCCAATTCCCTGACCAGAGCTGATGAGACATTAACTCCTGGGCTGAGTGACTTTCACAGCCTTTTCCAAAACTGTTAGGAATTTATACCATCCCAACCTCCTGTGACTACATTTAGTTTTTTTCCTAAAAAGGGGAAAGGCTGCTTTCAATGAACTATTCCAAACTTAGGGCAGGCTTCTAACTAAATCTATCTCACCCACATCCCTAAACACCAGTGGAAATTTGGCCACTGCCCTGCTGATTGTGATGACTGCTAACACAGTCCCCTTAGTATTAAATGGTCTGGGTTAAGCTCAGTGAACTCAATTCTGCAGTCTCTATTCTAATTCATGGTTAAGAGCCCATAAGATACCAGCTAGGCTGAAGCAAACCAGACAGGACCCTGCTCAGAACCATGTTCCCACCTGATCCTGTGAATCATGGCAACACCTAGCAAAGATCCCACAGTCTTGTGGCTGCCTATCTGTATCACCCATCTCCTTTCCTAATCTGTAGGTGATACCATCTACAAGGATACCCAGAGGACCAGCTATTCTCTCTTAAGCGGAGATGGCTCTCCCACTTAGCACAGGCAGAATCCCCAGTGCTTGTTAAAATGGGACTACTGGGCCCCTTGGGGTTCTGGCCCAGTTGGGTCACAGTGGGACCTGAGAATTTGCATTTCTCCTGAGTTCTCCATTCATACAGAGGACCACTGGTCTCAGCAAGTCTGGAGTTCTGCAGCTTGGAGCAAGTACATCTCCAGTTTGGAGCAATAGCAGGAGGGATAGGGAGCCTGTTCAACAGCTTCCCCTCTGAGCCCAGTATGGAAGTTCAGTCTGGATTGTGTGGGGCAGAACACTCACTTTCATTGCAAACATCTTGCCACAGCCGGTGTGTTCACACACAAATGGGCGCTTTTCTTCATGGAAGGAGAGAATATGGCTCTGCAGATTGAACGCGGTTGTATAGGTCCTACCACAGCCTTCTCTTGGACACCGGTACACATCCCTTTCTGCTGCATGAGTTTTCATGTGTTGCTTAAGGTAATCTTTCCGCTTAAATGCCTTCTGGCATACTGCACAGGTTATTTCCTCTGGTAGAGGAGACAAACAATTAAACCAACTTCCCTAGCTATAACTATACAGGAAAACAAATACCAAAGGCATAAGTAACACAATGAATGTTGTCTAAATCCTATACCACACACAAATCAGAAATTTCTGAGGAAACAACCCCACTTTACTACTAGGTTTGCTTCAAATCTATGGCTCCCAACCTCCTTGCCTCTACCTGTCAAGGAGCAGGGTTCTTGGCATGGGGACTGGCAGGATGAAATACTGCCCTACAGCATGTTTGTCCTCTGACATGCAGCACCATTTCCCAACGGAACACCAGAGCCTCCCACAACTGTTCATAGAGACTTCGAGAGCCTTAAGCAAACTGAGTGGACAGCTGCACCAGCTCTGAGATCCTGCACTGCTCTGCTCCTGTCAACAGCTGAGGAAGCCAGCACTACACACAATGGAAGCCCCTTCCTTTACAGCACTATACATGATTAATGTGGAAACCCTCATCCTTTACAAAGCACATGTGCAGTATTTTACCCTTTGACAACATAATCAGCTCTGCAGGAGCTCCTCCATGCCTACCTTACCTTTATGAGTTTCTCTTGTGTGTTTGAGAAGTTCTGTCCATGTTTTTGCCAAAAAAGAGCACCCTTTTTGACAAAGATAACCTGTTTAAAAAAAAAAAAAAAGGTAGACTGCCTGAATACTCAGTGCAAACACTGACCAGCTAGAAAGAAACCATCTATGCCTAGACACTCCTTCTCCCCTCTCAAAAATGTGCTACTCTGATGGGTGGAATTGGTGGGTTTTATTGAGTTAAAAACATCTAAGGAAGAAAAGCTTTCCCTAGGATATACATCTGTTGCTGAACTCAAAGCATAGCCAGGTATTTGTGAACAACACAATGCTGAGTTTAAACAGCTGCAAGGACATGTAGAACAGACAGAATGTGGTGCATCTTTGTCAAGAGAACATAAACCAAACAACAGAATAGTACCTTTCTTGCCTGTACAATTCTGTCTACTCAGCATGACTATAAAATAGACCAGAATGCATGAAGTAGTCCCAAGTATTAAGCACAGCCTACTGTCAGTGAGCTGCTCAGTGTGAGCACACTTGTCTGTACATACCCTCGTGAACCTTCCCGTGTCGTTTCAGCCTGCTAGCTGAAGCAAAGTGCTTCCCACATCCCTCCTGGGTACACCTGGGTGAGTAATGCATGCAGCATTAGCCAATCCATTTCCATAGAGAATTCTGTTCCACCAAAGCCTGACCTCTTCCCACATCCAAACCAATCACCAAAATAAAAATAAGTAGAACCCTCAATACAGACAAAACAATTACCTGGCTAGCTTTGGAGCAGAACAAGCTCTTTTAAGAGAATAAAGTCAGGGGCTAGAGAGATGGCTCCATGGTTAAGAGCACTAGCTATTCTTGCAGAGGACCTGGGTTCAATTCCCAGCACCCACATGGCAGCTAACAACCATCCATAACTCCAGTTCCAGGGGATCTGACGCCCTCTTCTGACCTCCACGGGCACTGCACAACACTGGTGCACCTACCTACATACAGGCATTATACCTGTACACATAAAACAAAAATAATAAAAGAGAAAAGCTACATCTTTTATGTGACCACATTAGAAATCTTCATCTTCGTATTTCTGAAAATATCCTCTGGTTTGTGGGTACAGAAAGCTGCCTAATGTGATTTAGGTAAACACTGGGCCATTCTGAACTGTTTTCTCTCTGATGTGTTTAACATACTGTATACTATGCAGGTAGGAACACAGAGTGAGGGCTACGGGTACAGCTCAGTGGAGAGTGCTTGCCTAGCGTGCTTGAGGTGCTGGCCTTGATCCCCAGAAAAAAACAACAAATGGCATTTGCTGCTGGGCATGGTGGCACAGGCTTGCAGTCATAGCACTGAGGAGGTAGAGGTAGGAGGATTGTGAGTTTGAGGCCGGTCTGAACTACACAGTCAAGACCCAGTTTTGAAAACACAAAAAAGGGAGGGAGGGAAAAGCGGGGACAAGGAAGAAATTAGTGGCAGATGCAGGACCTTTAGATGATGAATAAAAAGCTTAATGTGCTTGATCCTTAGCCACCACCAACAAAAAATATCACTCCAATCCCAAAGCCACAGAGATAAGCCACAATGAAGACCGTACTGTCACTGCAGTAGGGCTAGGGATAAGGGCAGTCTGGGAGCCAGGAGTAAGGCAGTGGTCAGTTGACGTGTGCAGGGAGCCCCCAGCATGAGGCAATCAGGGGTCCTCAGGAAATACTCCAAATGTAGGCAAAGCCCAATTATGTTCTACAGTAAGAAAAAACATGACTTGTAATCAAACTGAACACGCTCCGCTTGAACAGCTGGGCCATTCCTCACTTCCCCTTCAAGCTGAACCACTGAAGACTATTAGGAAGCTATTTCAGGACATTCCTTCCCTATCTTCATATTTCAATCTGAAATCTAGTTTCAGTGACCACCAACCTGAACAGCAGCTCATTTGTGTGCTGGCACTGATGTGTTTTCAGCTGCTGGTGTTTCTTAAAGGCCTTCTTACAACCCTCAAAATTGCACTGTTTAAAAAAAATTGCACTCTTTAGTAAAGGTTTACAAGTCTTAAGAAAAAAAAACACCAAAGAATCAACAGTTGCTAACAGTCCTCTTAAGACTACATAACTTTTACCCACTTAGTTACTGTAGAATGCTACTTTTATCTCAGGAAACTTTTAAGAGCAATGGCATTAGGAAAGCAAACATTTCTGCTGGGGTAGTTGCCAATAATGCCAGTAACATGAATGTGCCAAGTGTTTGTTTACAAAATGAAAACCTACATGATTAGGGCAGCCAGTGACAAATTTTGATACCTAGCAATATAATATTTGGTCAATAAATACTAAAAAATTCATAGTAAATGTAAAAACAGTTATAAAACTGAAGCATATAAAACCATACTCACCACATACTGTTTTTGCTGATTTTCATGCTTGTGTTCAATGTGTTTCTTCAAGTTTGATTTTGTATTGAATTTCTGATCACAGCCAGTATTTGTACAACTGCAAAAAATTGAAGAAACCCAAAATATTAACAGACCAAAGTAAGAGGCATTTTAAGATGTATATCCCTCTCCTTTTATAAAAAGCTGGTCATTCCAAAGAACAGTGCAAAACAGTTTTAAATAAATTCCAAAGTGTTGGGCTGGGATTATGGCTCGGGGGAAAAAACAAAAGAACAATTCCCAAGTGCTGGGCCACACCATGCATGCCTCAGCTTGGAGGCACTGTGTAACAAGATGCTTTCACATTTTTAGCTTTTGGCATAAAGGATGCTGTACTAGACACTCTACACACTGACAGGAGGAAAGTAAAAACCACTCATCTCAAAGGTGTTATGTTCCCTGGGCTCCAACAGTCCTTAAATTCAACTAGTCTTAGTTTAGAATCTAACAGTCTTGATTTTATGAGAAATGTCACTATAAACTACATTTCTAATAAGGCATTAAAGAACCTGGCTTCAGTGTATCACTACAAGTAAAACAGATACTTGGCAGAGAACTGTAAGTCATTATCCACTGTGGCATGTCACCAGGCCATTTTAATTCCCCTTATGTTAGAATCTTGGCCTTGGATTTAAAGTCCTTTGTGAAGAGTCTTTCATGACTCTGAACAATAAACCAGGACTTTCAACCTCAGTCACTGTTTAGGATGTTGAGCAGTACTCCCACCAGGCTCTGTGCATCCCAGGTGAAGAAAGTCAGAGACCAGCAAGCAGGGACCATGAGGTGCAGTACAGAAGCCCACAGAAGCTTCCTCTAGCCTTGGTTATTAGAGGTGGCCACATGGCTTAAGTGTAGGTCATCCTATGCAACTCTCAGTGTCTAAAATGAGGGCAGCATGTCTCTTGCCCTCCTCGAAATTGCTAGGCAACAATAGGCATCTTAGACCACAAGGTTGAAGCCTCAAGATGAGGATGGCAGAGAGAGCAGGTAGGAGCCCAGTTCCCTATAGACCCCAGAACAGCTCCGCACCTTCCAGCTCTGTACTTCTGCACTCCAGTTACTCACAACAAAAGAGCCTGTCTTGATCAAGCATGTACTGGATTTCTTGTCGTTCTTGATGCTAAACTTATATAGGCATTTAAACACAAATGTAGGACAGGAGGGTGGAGCCACAAATCCTGGCAGGTCCACACAGCAGGGCAGAGGCAGGGGCAGCAGCAGGAAGGAGTGCAGCAAACGGGTGCGGGCTTGGCTCGTTAAATAGAGCTGGATCATTTTCGTGCCTGAGAGCCAAACACATGGGGCAAGACAAGGAGAAAAGGACCAAATTACACAGACCACTTACAGGAACTTGGACTTCATATAATCAAAGCACAAAGCCATTGCTACTATAAAGCCACCTAAGACAGCCAGTCTGAGTCTGAGACAACACCTCAGGTGCTGAGTAAGAGCCTGGACAGGACAGCTGTGAACTGGAGCATTTGAGGGCAAGGACCTGATAAGCTCTGTTGCAGGAGGTACGAAAGATGAAGATGCTGCCTTACCTTTATTTAGTCACCAGACAATGATAACAGACCATGATGCCACTGACCCATACAAAAACCAGGACAGCACAAGACGAAAGAGAGGTAGGATCAGTTTGGACTGTAAGTTTGGCTACATGGAATTAAAGAGGCCCCAGAGGCAACCATATATACTGGCCATCAAGCCAGTGACTGGGAACTAAAGGAGGGCTGGGCTGAATGAAGCAAGCTAGAAATGGTCCACACATCAGTGACCTCTACTCATGCGTTGAGCACCTGGATCCAACCTTGTTTTCCCTTTAAGATTTAGTAGAATGAGGACTGGGAAGATGGCTCAGTGGGTAAGGCACTTGCCTCACAAGTGTGAGTACCTGGAATTGGATCCCCAGAACCTGTGTAAAAGCCAGACATGGTAGTGCATGTCTGTAATCTTGGTGCTCTTACAGTGAGCTGGGAGGCTGAAAGAAGAATCTCTGAAAGCTCACAGGCCAGTTCGCCTGATCCACACAGTGGCAAATAAAGAGATCCTGTTTCCAATAAGGTGGAAGGTGAGCACCCAAGGTTATCCTCTGACTTCCACTGTGGCATGCAGGTACCTACACTCATACACAAAGATGAAAAGATTCAGTGCAGTGTACAATCACATCATTTGGCACTCAAGATGCATGGAAAGAAGCATGGCCATGGAATGTGTTCCCACCCTATCCCTGCCAATCAGGACCTACATTTCTCAAGACACGTTACACCTTTAATTCTATTATGTAACGTTTAGGGTTTCTCCATAAGCAAGAGCAAATACACAGTCCTTATACAGAAGACTTCACGCTGGGTTTTCTACTCCTATGCCCTGTTGATTTTTAACCATGGTTTTGTTCAAGGAGCATCTGCCTTCATTTTTCTAGCTGCCTGCAGTGTTTCAATGTAGACCCTTACTGATGAAGACGTGGGTCGACTCTGCTTTGCAATAACAGTGTGCAAGTGACCTTACATGTATCTTTACTACAGACATGGGATATTGTAAAGTTCCAAAGTGATCCTTCCAGGTCAAAGACCTGCACTACTCTGTAGACCATCTGTTTACACTTCGTTGGTCTAGGTGGACTGTATTTCAAAATAAATGAAGCTTCACTAAGTCACTAACTTTAATATATTATACACTTGAACAGAGCATGAACTACAGTCATCCAGTACTTTGCCCCATTCTCACTAGCTAGACTGAGATGGCTCTCCACATGAAAATCAAGAGTTAAGTCTGTCCTGTGACAGGAAATCACTTTCCCCAGATTGTTTCGTCCTTCTGAGACCTTCAATTCACTAGCATCTGCACACTGAAAGAAATTCAACTCAGAGCACCAGGAATTCTTTATGCCCAAAGAACTGCTTCATAAAACAAAATCTGGATATTTAACTCTGATGTGGGAAATCACTATATAGCTATTTCCTCTCATGGATTTCTGCGTATGGCCTAGGACGTCTAGTGGAGTTGTCTTCAATGAAAATCTGTTTTCACGGTACATTCTGGCTAGTGGTACTCATAGTGCAGACTAGCAGCATCTGGGAATTTGCTAGAAAGGTCAGTTCTCAGGCCCCATCCCACCCTGGGATAGATCCTAAAGCCTATTTTTTTGATAGTCTGTGGAACTGGGGATGGAACTCAGGCCCACTCTCATGCTAATCACATGCTCTGTTGGGGGGGGGCTCTTTTTGAGACAGGGTCTCCCTGTAATCCCAGCTTGCCTAGAACTGTGTAGACTAAGTTAGCCTTATTGTCAGAGATCTTCCTGCCTCTACCTCGAGTGCTGGGTTAAAGGCATGTGCCACCATGCCTGGTTACATGCTTTTTTGCTGAGCTATACGCTTAGCTTTCTAAAGTCTCTGGGATTTTTGTTTGTTTGTTTGAGAGAGGATCTCCCTGTGCTGCCCCAGCTAGCCTAGAATTTGTTATGTAGACCAGGCTGGCCTCAATCTCACAGAGATCCTCCCACTTCTGCCTCTGGAGTGCTGCGATTAAAGATGATGCCCTGAGTTAAAGTCTAGAATGTAAATTTGAGGTCCACCTGCTTTTAAGGTGGTATTTCCAATCTCTAAGAAATAGTCACTCCTAGAAGAAAAATACCAACGAACTATTAACTCTGCTTCCTCATGCCTACACTGTTTATCCCAGCAGCCTGCTCTTCATAAACACCCTGACAATGCTGAGTCAAGAACATTCCACAGGGGGCTGAAGAGATGGCTCAGCATCTACTGGCTGCTTCTCTTGCAGAGGACCTGGGTTTGGTTCCCAGCATCCACACTGCAGCTTACAACCATCTCTAACTCTAGTTTCAGGGCATTTGACTCCCTCTTCTGGCCTCTGTGGGCACTGCACATGCATGGTGCACTTAAATACATGCAGGCAAAATACTCATACACATAAAATAACTGAATTTTTGTGTATTTCGTTTTATGCCCCTTTCCCCTTTAGCACCCTCTCACAGCACCCCCACTGGAGTCCATACATTCTGTCATGTGTTAAAGCCTATCATATAATTAGCATTCCCCAGATGCCCCTCAGTGCAAATTCATCCACTGGGATCTAGTCAGTCTATCTAGAGTCCCTCCCTTTAAAAAGATCAGCTCATTCTCACTCAGCAGTAATCAGCTACCAATAATTCTTCAACTAAGATTGGGATCTGCTGTTCATTTCCAAAGTTCTGTGCTGGGTTTTTGTCTGCTTAAATTTGCATGGGTCTTGTGTATGCTGACACCATTGCTGTAGGTTTGTATGAGAAGAGTCCCAGGAGCCTCTAGGACTATTTCTGTATGGTCATGCACTTTCTCCCTGGCTCTTAGAGCCTATCCGCCCCATCGTCCACAATGGTCCCTGAGCCCTGGGTGGGAAGATTTTAATATAAGAGTCCTGTCCAAGCACCCACACTCTGCAGACTCTTATTCTCTTCATTTTGGCCATTTGTGACCTTCTGTGTTCCTGGTCCTCTGTTGCATGAGGGAGCTTCATTAATGAGAATTGGAAGATGCATTAGTGTTTTCTTCATCCCTTGTTCTATGCTCCATGAGCCTTAACTACAGAGGTTGCATCCTAGATGTGCTACTTAGGCTTGGGCAATTCACAAACAATCTTTGTGTAACCAGTTGTGGAATTCTATAACTATCTCTGTCTCTTGAAAAAGAAGCTTCTTTGATGGGTGGTGATTGAGATACTTGTCTATAGATTTAAGGATCCATATTACGTTTGTCTAGGGATGTGACAGCCTTGGAGTTTTCTCAAAGATCTATGACCTCTCCAGCTATGTGTATTTACATACTAGGCTAGGTTTACAATACCACACATGAGTTTCCACCCATTGAGTGGGCTTATTTTAAGTCGAACTAGGTAGCTGTTGATTACCCCAAAGATAAAAGTGCCACTACTGCACCAATGTCATTTACTGTGCTGGTCATCAATGTGGTTTTTAGGTCTTGAAGTTGGGGTTGGACCATCAATTGATATTCTTCCTCAGCAGTGTGTGGTGCTCTCCAAAGCTATGAGAGCTAGCCTTCAGGGAAGGTGGCTTTCAGGTCAGTTCCAGCTCTGTTACTCCAAAGTATGTCCTGTCTTCAGCTGTTGGGTCTTACCATCAAGTTCTGGGAGGTAATCAAGGGCTGTGGCAATAGCCTATGTAATTTTGGGAATCTCTTGGACTACCCTGGCCAACAACTCAAAGGAAGGTTTCTCCTGTCTGGCACTGTTTCTTGTTATGTGGCCATCAGCTATACTCACAAACTCATGTAGAGATATTAAATACAAAATTTAAAAAATATATATTTTATTTTTATTTTATGTGTATGAGTGTATTGCCTGCATGTAAGTAAGTGCACCCGTGTTGTGCAATGCCCACAGAGGACAGAAGAAGCCATCGGACCCCCTGGAACTAGTTACGGACAGTTGTTAGCTGCCATGTGGGTGCTGGGATTCCAACCCAGGTCTTCTGCAAAAACCACCAGTGTTCTTAACTGCTGAGCCATCTCTCCAGCCCCATAAATACAAAATTTTTAAAAAGAATTTTCCAGAAACTGTTTCCATCTGGTGTGTTTCCAAACTGTGTGATGAAAACTGAGAATTTGGACTCCAGATTAATTCAGTTCTAAGTTATTACACAAAGGGCCCATAGCATTCCCTTCTCTCTTCCACATCCAAACCTATTTTCCCCGATCTGTAATAATGAAAACAGTTTCACATTCTAAATCTCTTTTTTGATGTTGTTGCATGTATTTTGTGTGTGTGTGTGTGTGTGTGTGTGTGTGTTGTGTACATATGCCAGAGCTCACATGTGGAAGTCAGAGGACAGCTTGCAGACATTGTTTTTCTCCTTCTACCACATGGGTACGGGATCAAACTCAAGTTGTCACCCTTGGTAGCAAGTGCCCTTACTCAATAAGTCATTTAGCAAGTCCCCCATTCTTAATCTTATAAATTAGTAACCATCTTCCCCAGGCTACATGTAAGTATAACCCACTCCAAAGGTCTAGTGAGCCCTCTACTCACACAAACGGCTTTTCTCCAGTGTGAATCAGGACATGGCGATTCAGATGATAGTCCCTGATGAAGGTCTTGCCACAGCCCTCATAGTCACAAACAAATGGCCTCTAGCAGAAACAAAGGAAAACATGACAATTCTATCCTAGATAGTGATTCTGATACTATGTTTTCATTATTATTTTAAAAACTGTTTGCGGGGGAGCTGAAGAAGGCTCAGTGGTTAAGAGCACTGGCTCCTCTTGCACAGAACCTAGATTCAATTCCCAGTAACCAGGTGGCAACTCACAACCATCTATAACTAGAGTTCCAGGGGATACAGTGTACAGGCATTGTACAACATGGGTCATTTAAATATATGCTGGCGAAACACTCATACACAAAAAATAAACTTTAAATTTTTAAAATTTAATATGTGTATGTGTATATGTGTGTGTGTGTGTTATGGGCACCTGCACACCATGGAATGCATGTTGAGGTCAGAGGACAACTTTGGGGAGTCAGTTCTCTCCTTCCACCTGTGTTCCAGAGACTTCCTCTCCAGGGATATTTCCATTCAGGAAGTGTACTTGTCAAGTACCTGCAATACCTAGTCAAGATGGACCCAGTTTTCCTACACAAAGTTCACAAGATCACCTTAATAAGCAGACTTTAGTATTATGGCTAGACAACATCTGAAATAAACAGGCAGCCTTCCCAAGGACACAGTGTTACTAACCTGCTCCAATCCAGTGCCAGGCTACCTAGCAACAACCTCTCCAAGATTACTTTCATAGAAGCATGGCCTGTCAACCCTACCTTTACCACAGCAGCATTTTATCATCCAAAGGTAGCTCAGAGCTGAGGGAAGGAGCAGGTTGTGTCTCATCCTCCCCAAGAACAGTTTGTACTAGGAGAATGCCAGACACAGCTACTAGAAAATATGTCACAGCTGAAAAGGCCTATAGGAGCTGGGAGGGAGGGGGGGCACACATGCATCAATCCCAGGCCTCAGGAGGCAGAGGCACTCAGAACTCTATTGAGTTTGAGGTCAGCCTGATCTACATAGTGGGAGCCTGTCTATAAATAAATAGTTCATAGGTGCCAGGTCAAGCAAAGGAAAACAGCTCCCAGCCTTAACTGCAACCTCTATTTGGGGGACCCAGAAGGTAAGAGAGGGAAAGCTATAGCAAGTCCTAACAGAGACTCTTAACAGTCGGAGGACAGAAGATACAGCTAAGCCACATTATCCAGGGCAGAGTCATAGACCTCTCTCAGCTCCAGTCGTGGAGTAGGCTCAGTCCTGATAAATCTTGTCGGTTTTGGGACAACAAACACAATTTCAGGTGTTCTAACCTGAATGAAACTAGCAGCACCAAAATCTAAAATGCAGCATGCAAGTCTAAAAGGAAAGGTCACCTGATTCTGACACAGTGGTAAGTAGAGGCCAGAATTGGCAGGGGAAGAGGAAGGCAAGGCACAGCGGATGTTATGGGTAACGCAGGGCGAGGGTTGGGTAAGACTGCCAAGAGAGCCAAGGTGCATAAAACTGAGAGGAGGAACCAAGAGGGGCAAACAGGAAGGTCCATACAGGGGGCATTCCTGGCCACCCTTACCTGGCCTTGGTTGACTGGACCAAAGCCTGACCAGTTTCGTCACTGCTCTCCTGGAATTAAAAGAATGACCACCCGCTGCCAGCTCTCGGAGGCGGAAGCTTGTAGGGGGGGGGCATCTACAGGTAGCTGACTCTGAATCCCTGCACGCAGGACACGTGTCTAAAGATCAGCGGGGAAGGGGATACCGCAGGCCCCGAGACAGGCTCCCAGTCTAGTCCCTCAGGGCCTTCCCTAACCAATCCCAGCGCCCGCAGCAGTACGCGGGCCTGCCCCGCCCCCGCCCCCGCCCCGCGCGTCCGCGGCCTCCTACCTCCCCGGTGTGCTTGCACAGGTGCGCTTCTAGCTTCCAGGCTTTGTTGTAACTAGCGCTGCAGTCGGGGAACGAGCAGATGAACCGGATGGGAAGCGCGGGCCGAGCGCACGGGGCGGAGCTCGCAGAGGCATCCACGAACGCGTCGGCGATGGTCAGGGACGACACGGCCTCCGCTACCGAGGCCTGCGGCTCCAGGGCGGCCACGTGTCGCTCCCGGGACCGCGGCCCCACGCCCCGGGCGCAGCCGCCTCCAGACAGACCGCACTTCCGTGAGCGCGGCCCGGAGGGCGCCAGGCCCCGCCCCGCTGCCGCACACGCTCTGAGGAGCCGGGTAGAGATGCCTAGCCGCGCATGCGTCCGGCGGTCCGGGCCAGCCTGTACCGCCCTGAGCTGCAGGAGTTGCTAGCTTTGCGTTCACCGTAGAAAAATCTCCGCAACACAAAACCGGAAGCACTGTTTAAATGTGGAAAGCACTAACCTGGCATAATTTAAGGTAGCCTGAGATCTCAATGTGTAGCTCTGGCTGGCCTGGAACCCGCTATATAGACCAGGCTAGCCTTTCACAGAGATCTGTCTGCCTCTGCCTGCCAGGATTAAAGGGGGGGTGCCGCCATGCCCGGCTCTGAATTCCCTTCCTTCTGCAAACTCCAAAACAAAGTAGATCCCTATGCTTCTTGTCTCTTAGAATCACATGCAGAATTTTCAAAGTTCCAAAGCACATCCGGACCAGTTAAGCCATAATTTCTGAACGTGGAAACAGCCATCAGTATTTTTTCTAAGTTTTTGTATTTTGTGTGTATGGGTGTAAGTGCAATCAATGCCAGTGGAGGCCAGAAGACGCGTTTGATCCCTTGGAACTGAAGTTACGCAGTTGCTGTGTGGGAGCTGAGAACTGAACCCCTGTCCTCTGGAAGAATAGCCAGGGCTCTTAACCACTGGGGCATCTCCAGTCCATTGTCAGTTTTTTGAAAACTGCACAGACTATTCGGAAAAAGCTCGGGAACCCATGTTCTACAATCTTGCTGCTCAAACTGGTCTTTAACAAATGCAAACCTTGTACCTTAGTGCCCTGGTGATTTAATGTATGTTACATCCGGAGAAGACTGAGAGACTTGGGAGCATATGGATAACATGGTTTATGGGGACAATGTGCTTAAGAGGTAACAGTAACAGGATATGTTGCCTGATGTTCCACCAATGCCTGTTTCTCACATCCTGCATCATTCCAAATCGTTCAGTTTTTGATGGATTAATGAACAGGTCTCTACACAGAGGTGCAGTCTGGTCTTAATCTTGACCTAGAAACTTCACTTCATACGCTTGAGCCTCAGCCCCAAGAAAGATGAAAATAGCACCTGGCTAAGTGAGGTCTTACAATCACAGGACTGAGAGGGTGTCTGTGATGTGGACACCTGTTGCTTTCCTTATCCATTATTGAGAGGGGCTCTGGTCCATGCATAGCCTTCCCACATCTTCAGAAGTCCGAAGTGATTTCTCCTGTGCTGATTTCTGGCTCTCCTCTTAGCTGGCTTCTGCACCTGGCTACCGACGCTCCCTCTTCACAGGTTTTCGTACTTTACACTCTTGCCTTTAATCTCTCCTGCACGTGCTGCCAGTTCTCCCTAAAACAGGAGATTTAGATTGCTTTCTGTTACTGCGATAAAACACAGACCTCTGCCTATCTCCCCCCTCTTCTCCGGTGATCAGCTTCTAGAAGACTGAAGTCCTGCCCCCATGACCGGTTTTCCAAGGGATTCAGTCCCAACCAAGCTGCCTGGACTTTGCACAATCTGCTCCTTTTGTTTCTCTTGGCTAATGATCCTGGAAAAACAATTTGGGGGCCGAGCTGGGATTCAGACTTCTGAGACCCAAACATCTCAGACTAAAGGGTCTGTGGGTCACAAGGCTAAAGATTAACATGGATAGAACTATGGCATCCCAGTTCTAGCTAGAAAATTCCATTTACTAGCCACCTTTGTCTTATAACTTAGTTTCTATCCACAAAGGGGCCTGGAGATCTTTTCTAGTCTTTCTACCTGTGAGTCTACTTTTGACCCTATGAATTGGAAGCAACAGCATGTCCCAAGCCTAGGTCTCAAGAAAACTTCTCTGTGGCTTCCCGTGCCTTTCCCATTGCCGCAAGAATGAAATTTTTGCATTAGTCTGTCCTAAGAAGAGGCACAAGGAACAAAGCTAAGCCATATCAGCTGATCCCAACATAGATTGACCAGTCCATAGACCTGTGGCATTACATGAATATAGGCCTCTGAGTTGTAGAATGGATTCTTAGGCAGTGATTTTGTGGCAGTAATCAATAAATTCTTTGCTGACTTCTGTTTATATAAGAAATACGCGCATCCAACAAACACGTTGCAAGACACATTAAACATTATAGTCTTTCAAACCCTATAAAATTTGGTTTATGACAAGAAATTCTAATTTTAACACCAGCCCCCCCCCACACCCCCTGAAAGATTTTTGTTTAAAAAAGGCCTGGTGCATTCCAAACTTATGACCTGAGGCAGCAAAGCCCTTCCCCCCTCTTTGGCCAACCTTCTCCTCCCTTCCTTTGCACAGATTGTTTTAAACTAGCCAACCAGGAAAGACTGAGGTCTGACAATGGGGAAAAGACTCAGTACTCTTGCATTAGGTCTGAAAACCTCTCCAGCATCCAGGTTCCTGTGCTTATTCCATCTGACTGATGATGCAACACATCCTTTTGCAAAATAACAGCTGTCTTTCCAGTTACTTTGCTAGGTTCTCATGTTATTTGTGGGGTACTGGTGAGTCCTTGGAATTCAGATATTTCTAATACACACTTAAGTTTATTTCATCTTTTAAACAAACCCCTTTTTGATCCCTCTGCTCCCCCTCCCACAGTCATTATTGAATCATGCTCCTTCCCTCCATAGCCATTAATTAAAAATAGTTTGTGCTCTTCCTCCTCTTTGTCTGTTCACACTTTATCATCACCATTATTGAAATTTTAAGCATGGACCAAAATGGAGCTAACAGTACAAAGAGCCCTTTGGACTGCTCACTCAGCTTTGTCAGCCATAAAATTTTTGCCATGCTGGTTTCATCTGACTGCCTCCATTCCTAATTGAAGACCCATATACTCTTAAATTCGGCATATCTGAAGCTGCTCCTCCCCTCTGGGGTCCTCTTATTCACCAGTGCTGTCACTATCCTCTCACCAAGTGGGTGAGCTGTGATTCCATAAGAGAAGGAATATTTGGGGGAGACTAAATTTGCTTCCCAACTAGGTGAAGAGAATTCTGCTACCCAGGGATTGTTCTTCTCCCCAAACTCTTCCAGATAGCCCCAGATCTCTTGTTATTCCATAAAGCCTTTGACCTTCAACACCATCTGAGCTGCTGTAGGACATATGGAAACAGGTTACCTTCACCTCTCACCACCACACCAGTAATTTAGGGAGGAGTCATCTCAGGAAGATCTCTTCCAGTCCTAGCACTGTAGGAGTTTATGATAAGAAAGGGAGACAGTGATAATTTTTGAGCCAGACTTAAACAGGATAAGTATTGTACTGAAGAAGTGGGCATATTTCAGACTGGGAAGAGTCCTGGAGCACTAAATGCACACCAAGAGGTCATTGTCATCAGCAGAGTCAGAGGTCTGGTGTTGGGGTAACCATGGAACTAGAAGCAAGAAGACATTTGAATGCTCAGGTGCAATGGTGATTCAGTTGTGGTGGTTAGAGGCATGGGTTTGGAGTTCTGTAGACCTGGCTTTGCATTCTGTTTGCTATTTAACCTTCAGTCGGTTATTTAATTGCTCTGAAGTTTATGGGTTTTTTTTGTTTGTTTGTTTTGTTTTTGTTTTTACAATAGTGATAATAATGGCTATAACACATAGTTATAAGAATTGCGTGAGAGGTGTTTAGCCTAGGACTAAGTAATCAAAAAAGTAGTCTGTTTCTTTCAGATTGAAATACAGTAGGTTGAGGCTTATACACTCAAATGAAAGAAGCTGCTGTGTTGGAGAAGTCTATGTGGCAAAGCATTTAGAGTCATCTCTGTTCAGCAGCCAGCTAAGACCTGAGGCCCTTAGACAGCAGTCCTTGAGGATCCTGCCCCAGTCACACTTCAGAGGAGACTCTAACCCTGGCACACTTCTTCATTGCAGCCTGGGAGAGACCTGAACCAGGGGGGCCAGATGAGCTGTACCTAGACTCCTGACTCACAGAAACTGCAATGCATGTTGGGTTATGCCACTGAATTTGAGAGGAATTTGTTATTCAGCATAACTAACGTAGAGCCAAAGTTGTTGGGTTTTGTTGTTGTTGTTTTGAGGTAGGATCTCAGGATGTACCCCTGGCTGGCCTGGAACTCACAGAGATCTGCCTGCCTCTATCTCCTATGTGCTGGTGTTAAAGGAGTATGCTACCATATCTGGCTGAGCCAAGGATTTTTTTTTACATAGAAAATATTTTTATTTATGTATCAAAGACTAAGGTTAACAGTTGATGTCAAGACACATATACACACAAAAAAAATACTTGAAAAGCTATAGCTGATAATCACTGTTGGATTCAATCTCCCTTGATTATTTTAGAGAACATTTCTGATAAACTCCCAACTGAATCTTAAGCATGGTATATCCAGGTGACAGAATTACAGCTCCCTCCATTACTCCTCAGTGTCTTTCTTTTTTTCTTTTTCTTCTTTTTCTCTGGACTAGGAATTGCTGTGCTGGTGCATGGCTCTTCCTCAGAAAGTGGTTCTTCCTTAATGTGTTTCTTTTTATCCCTTTTCTTTTTCTTCTTTGCAGATGTCTCCTTTCTAATACAGTCTTTTCTTCTTCTACTTCTTCCTACTCTACTTCCTCCTCCTCTACTTCAGCTTTGAGCCAAGGATTTTTACTTTACAAAATAACTGTGTACCTGGTGGTTTCGAACTCTCAGAATAAGAGAGGAGTTTGAGCAAGGAGTTTCTCCTAGGAAGAGGGGGAGGGTGCTGACACATAATACATTTTATGATTCTTCCTAACCAAATCTCGGATGCATAATGTGATAAGAAAGAATGTGTGTGTGGTAATAGCAGGACACAAGCTTGAAGACATGAACTGTCCTGGGAAATCTTCATGTGTGATCCCATTTATCACAAGTTTACTTTTTAATGCTGGAAATTCAACACAGGACCTTATCAGTAAACACATCTTAAACTTAAAGAAGGGAAGGTAGGCCAGGTGAGGTGGCACATACCTTTAGTTACAGCACTCAAGCAGTAGAGGCAGAGGCAGAGGCAGGTGAATCTCTATGAATCTGATGCTAACCTGGCCTACATAGTGAGTTCCAAGGCAGCCAGATCTACATAGTGAGAGACTCTATCTCAGAAAACAAAAACAGAAACAGAGGTATATGTTCTTTT